TTCTTCTGGGATTCCAGTTACATGTAGGTTAGACCATTTGATATTGTCTCACAGCTCTCAGATACTCAATTCTCTTTCTCTCTCTCTGCGTGTGTGTGTGTGTGTGTGTGTGTGTAATATTTTTGTTTGTGTTTCAGCTTGGGTAATTTCTACTGAACAGTTTTCAAGTTCACTAATTTTTTTCTTGGTTGAATTGAATCCACTGATGAGTCCCTTGTGGGTGTTTGTCATCTCCAGAGCCATGTTTTTAATTTCTAAAATTTTCATTTGATTCTTTTTCATATATTCATTTTCTTTGCTGAAACTACCTATTTGACTGTTTTTTCCACTAAGCCCTTGCCATATTAATTTTAGTTATTTTAATGCTTTTTCATATTTCAACATCTGTTGTTTACTATTTTATCTTTTGATTTTTTTTGGCCTTTTTTGTATGCCTTGTATATTTTTTTTTTTTTTGTCAAATGTTCAAAATCTTGTGTAGTATAATGGAGACTAAGGCAAAAATGGGCATACTTTTTCTTTTGGTAGATCTTTATTGTGGAGGGCTGAGTTGATCTAATCAGGAGTTAAACTGTATTTAGATGTTTTTGTTGCTGTGGTTATCCATAGGCTTTGAATTCTTCCAGTATTACGTTGAGTTTTAACGGAGATTTTCTCAATGTTTGTACCACCCTCACCTTTAGGCCTTCCCTTTAATCCTGTGCCTCAGAGAGGGTCTTTCTCCATGTTCTTATCTCTCTTTTAGCAGTAGATTGCTGTTCTTAGTAACTCAGTATTTGCTATTTTGATGATGGTAGGAGAGATGGCATTTTCTGTTGTGATTCAGTTTTAATCTCAGGTAGGCACCATGTCTCTGAGACTTAAGGGTGGGGTCTATTAAGTGATGTTGCCCTATCCACGGCTGTAGAAGACTTCCACGGTCTGGACCCAGGATGTAATTCTACTCCTACCTCATGAATAGAGACCTTTGTTCTCTTTCTTCCTCTCAGTTCCATCGGATCTTAACCAGTCCCTAAGGGTGACAGGATTTGCTTCTTCATTCTCAGAGGCTTAGGGCTTTTGTTTTGTAGGGGAAATAGGGGAGAAGGACCTGGATGGGGATTCATGTCTTTTTTAGGGGGGAGGTTTTTATAAGATTCTTCTTGCCTTACCTTTGATCGTATGTATGTATGTGTGCACAGATTTGATGATGTCCATTTGAAGAATATGCAAGTGGGTGGAAATTATTCTTGTGTCTGTGGTTCACAAGAGTTCTATAGTCTATATTCTCAGGCTAACCAACACTTGGACCTCAGCAACTCACTAAACATTTTAGCTGATTTCTTCTTAACAGCTTACATGGCATCCAATATCATCTGTCCTATGTAAACAAGTGCTTATCTTATATTAGATTTTAGATAAATTTGCCCCCAGATCTTAGCTTTCTGATGTAGACAAGAGGAAATTTTAGATTATCTGGCTGTTTTTTGTTGTTGTAATGGTGGGGCCATGCTCTTTTCAGTTTTCTACATCATGAGAAGGTGAATTTCTTGATTTTTCAAAAGGAATCACACTTTTAAAAACACTGAAAAATAAAGAAAAGAGACTGAGCTACCAGAATAGCTTTCACTTATGCTAGGCACAGGGTGAATTCAGGACTCTGGGCTGTTATGGGTCTACTGCCAACCCTTGGATGTGAGCTGCATGCACGGGACCCTGTGTCAGCCTTTGTTCATTTATCTTCCTACAGTGATGTTGCATGTGATCTACAACACCCACGGACAATGGAGGTGGGAGCAAATGTCCTTTATTCTTCACACTCTTCACTGTTAGCATCAAGGTAGGTACTCTACCCCCTCCACAGGCTCCGGCACAACATGTCAGGAAGTTCTCTGGGGTGGCCACACCTATTTCCTCTAAGGGCTTTCAACAGGTTTTTCATCATGATAGTTATTATTTATTTATGTATTTATTTTTACCTCTGATCGATACAGTGATGCTATGATTTCCTGGGACAGTGTTAAGCTCTGCTGGACAGGGAATGAATATTTCTTGGGTGAATTGACTGCTCTCACTTTGCCCATGGTCCATTGCTAATCCTCTGCTAGTGGTGATGTATGGAACTGAGGGGCGTCAGCAACACTGAAAGACATCACATTCTAGGAGTGCAATCATTACAGCAATTCGAGAGAAGTCCTGATTGTATACTGTGTCCATTGATTATGCTATAACAATCCAAATGCTAAATTTACGTGACGTAAAGCCATTCACATTTTCTTGCATATTCTGGATAAAACGTGTAGTTGAAGTTATCGTAGCACAGTAATAAAGGCACTGCAAGCCAGTATCATGGCTGGCACGATGATGCAAAGTCAGGTGCAAGGTGCCTCGACTCAGAACCCGGCTCTGGAGGAACACCAAGCGCCTGTCTCGCCAGCATGCCCTTTTATCACGGGAACTAGGAGGGAAGCACCAAGATAGTCCTCCAAGAGTCCTAGAGAGAAATCCAGAGAGTGTATCGGTTGGCCAGTCAGTGTGATGACGCACTTCCGGCACCGCCTTCTTTTTTTTTGTCGCGCGAGATTTGGTTTGTGAGGCTCGACAAGTAGCAAACACAGTCTCTGCTTGCTGAAAAGCTGCAGAGGCCGCCGGGAACCCACGGTGAGCGGGTCTGAGAAGGACGGGAAACGGCCCGAGGGAGGCGGGCACGGCTACTGCTCGTACTGGGGTCCTCTTGTCGATCCCGGGGCTCGGCTTGGTAGCGTCGAGAAGGGGCGCTGGTAGGCCCGGAACGCTGTCCTCAGGCCCTTACCCCCTCGTTTCCCTGTACTCGGGGCAGTCCGCGGCTCACTCAGAATCGGATACTGATACACATTCGGGTGTTAACTTCGAAACCCTCAAAAAGTTTAACTGTCCACGCTCCAGGACATTCTAGCAACAGAACACACCCCTCGGTCGTTCCACCCACCTCGTCTTTGCCCCGGATGCGGAAACCCCAACCCTACCGCTCGGCCAGTGTACGATTTCCCCATTTTCAGTTGGTCCCAGAAAATCGGTTGGTGATCAGTTATCTTCGCCTGGCATAGTGTACACCGGTCTTGAAACTTGTTACCGTTGGAGAGCAACCAAAATTTTGAGAATACTTAAATGTATTCCCTACCTGTCCCCAGGATGTCCCATTTTGGAAAATACGGAGCCCTGCGATTTGGATAGGTTCATATGAATGTTAAATCTAATAGGAGTAATCTATCAATCATGCACCTAATATGTGTCCAGTATTTAACATAGTTTCCTATGTACAGTATTGGAGATGTGGAAAGATTTCTTTACCTCTTCACGTTGTTCATTATATTCTTCTCATTACATTCTCTTAATTTTTACTCCACTGTCATAATCGTCAAGGTTCATAGGTTAACATTTGATGTCACTGCCATTAGTCAATTGTGTTGGGAGTGTGATTTGTTTTCCAGCATAGCTTGTTGTTGAGGCTTCAACTCCTATAGTTTTCCCTATAGGAAAACACTTCCATAGGGAAGGTTCTTTGTGTTTTGCAGGGTGACCTCTGTTGTAGTTCTATTCCCAGATGATTTCCCTTTCACAGATTGTCAGCTATACAAATCAGACCTTTTTGCTTAAGTCCTTTTGTTTGATATGCTAATCGTATTAAGTATTCATTGTAAGGGACATTTATTGCTGATACAATGACAGTGTCATGAGAATTAGACTCTACAACTACAAGGGTTACCTATTTGCTCAGTATGAATCACTGCTTTTGTTACCCTTGGAGAGAAACCATCCATGAATTTAGCAGCATTACTTGTGTAGGTTTACATTGTGTTTTCTTTTAAGGTACTTCTCTTTACTTTCATACATATTTCTCCTTCCTGGACTCCCTGTAACTTCTAAGATGCAGTTTCTAGCCTCTCCTGACAGCTGTTTCTCTGACACCTTCAACTTCCTCTACCTTCCTGAATGACTTTCTGGATTCACTAAGAAGAGTCATTGGAGAGAGAGGGGCAGTGCACTGGCTGCATAGTCTTTTGTCTGATGCTGTTGCAGTACCCTAAGACTTAAGGCAAACTGCAGATATGGAGTTGGAATGGAAGTTGTTCTTAAGGTCTATGAGTATGTGCACTTTTATGTGTTTGTTTATATGCTTTTGAAATATCTTTGATTCAACTGATGGCAGCTCTTTGTATTTCAGGTGCTGTTTTTAATGCATAAATATCCATGATTCACTCTTGAAAGGCAAAAGACTTACTTCCTAATGATGAACTAATTAAATGACCCAGAATAAGAGTTGGAACCAGTTTAGAAATGAAAGTTTTGTTTCCTTATACTATAATATTAGGAACTTGGAGTATTTGGGACCATTATGAAGTTGCTGGATTCTTTTAATATGGTAGTGTTTTCTTTCTCATCACCCACTCCCAACACCTTTATAAAACTGAATATCTTGTATTTAGGGGAAAAATAGTTGTAGGGAGACATCAAATATTCCTAATCAACTATTTTCAAGGTCTGTTCAACTTTTATTACTTCAGTTGTAGAAACTCTCTTGTTCTAATATTAAGTAGCAGAGGAGGAAGAGCACGCTGAGGTCTTACAGTGTTTAATGGATTTCTTCTATATAATTCATTCCTATCTGTACTGTAGGGATTTCAGGGATCTTAACTGTTCAGAATTCCAACTTTCTTTTCCGCCTATAACATTCTGTTTACTGTCTACCCTAGTTTCCTTTTCTGTTTTCTATCCTATGATATCTTCTCTGGATTAGCTGAAATGATAGTCTTCTCAGTCCACTTTTTCATCACTCATTCCTTGGATGATTCTACCTCCTTTTTGCATTTCTCTGTAATCCTGCTATCTCGCCTTTGTGAGACTAGAGTTGTCCCTGGTAATAAGCAGTAACTAAGGAACAGTAATTTATCTAGTCTTCAAAACAGGATGGGTCAGAGGTTGTATGTAGGACTCAGGGTCAATAGAGTTATTGTCATTAATGTTTTTTTCTTTACCTTCAGCACCTGAGTCTTTTACCTTTACCCAAGAAAGGAATAAAAGAGGTCAGACGATGACAACTGTGTCCTCAACAGCCAGGCCCCAGGTGAGCTGTTTTTTTTCTGTCTCTGTACATATCTCTGTATGTATATACATATATGTTTATTAGATACATACATAAAGATGTCTATATATACACATTTACATAAATATATGAAATACTTTTATATATGCGTATATGTATATATACACTATATATATGCACATTTCTCATTGAGGTTTAACTTACACAACACAATTCTTAACAGTATAGCTCACTTTTTAGAACTATGTACACTTGTATGACCTCACTCATATAAAGACATAGAACATTATTAGCACCCCAGAAGGCCCCTTCATACTGCTTCCCAAGCAATCCACAGCTCATCCCAAAGTTAACCACTATTCTGACCTCTATCACCATGGGAAAGTTCTGTTTGTTTTTGAACTTCATATAAGTGGAATCATTCAACATGCATTCTTTTGTATCTGTCTTCTTTTGCCCAACATTATGTCTGTGAAGTTCACCGACGTTGCACACAGCAAGGATTTGTTCTTTTTCACTTGAGTAGTTTTTTATTTTGTGATAATAGCATATTTTATTTATTCATTCTACTGTAGGTGGACTTTTGGTTGTTCTCATTTTGGGCTACCATGAATAAGAATGCAGTGAACATTCTTGTCTTTTTGTGGACACAGACCTTCATTTCTCTTGGGTATATCTCTGTGAGTAAAATTGATAGCTCATAGGGTACACATTTGGTTAGTTTTAGTAGATGCTGCCCAACAATTTTCTGAAATGATTCTTCCAATTTACATTTCTACCAGCAGTATACAGTTGCTCCACATCTTTACCAACACTTATTGTCATTTGTTTGCAGTATCTCGTTGGGATTTTAAAAATTTCCTCTTCTCCAGTAAGCAGTGATGCTGAGCACCATTTCATAAGTTTATTGGCATATCCTCTTACGTGAACTCCCTGTTCAGATATTTTTTCGTATTTTTTATTACACTGTACCTTTTTTCTCCCACATTGTATAGTTTCTTATAAGTCCTTTGTCAAATATATGTAACATTAAATAACTTCTCCCAGTCAGTGGCTTGCATTTTCACTCTCCTAATGGTATCTTTTAACAAACAGATTTTTAATGAAGACACTGTATCAGTTTGTTTTGCATAAGAAATCTTTTCTTACTCAAATATCACAAAGATATTCTTCTATGCTTTCTTCTAGAAAATTTATTGTTTTGACTTTCTACTTAGATGTGTGATTCATCTCAAATTAAAGGTGTGAGGCATGGGTCAAACTTCTTTTTCCTCCCATACATGTATCCAGTTGACTCAGGATTATATATTGAAAAATCTGTCTTTTACCCACTGAATTGCTCTAGTTACTTTGTCATACATTTGGAGAACATATGTGTCTGTGTCTGTTTTTAAAATCCTATTCAGTTCTATTAGTTGAATTTTCTGTCTGAACTAGTATTCCATGACACTCACTATTGGTGAGTTACGTGGAATTTTGCAACACAATATAACATGGAGGGCTTTTCTTCAAGGTAATTAAAAATACATCAAAAAGATAATTGATAAAACATTCTTTGGCACCTGGCTCATAGGTTCCGTTAATCTCATATTCCATGTTAAAACGATTTCCACTAGATCTCCATTTCTGAAATACAGAGCTCAACTCTAGGGCTTAAAAACTTCCAATAGCCACCTTTTTAGGCCTTTCTTGAGCCTTATGCACCAAGTTGGTCTAGACCCTAGTCTTTCCCAAGTAAGCAGTATTTTCCTATGCCCCTCTAACCTCACTACTTCTGCTTGAAGGTGGGCTGTGGGTGGGAATTCACTGACAGATTGGAGAAGCTTTGTGCTTGGGATAGTGGGCAAAGAGACAGGCAAGAAAGGATTAGAGTGAGGCCGGGCACAGTGGCTCACGCCTAATACCAGCACTTTGGGAGGCCAAGGTGGGTGGATCACCTTGGGTCAGGAGTTAGAGACCAGCCTGACGAACATGGAGAAATGCCGTCTCTACTATAAATACAAAATTAGCCAGGCGTGGTGGTGCATGCCTGTAATCCCAGTTACTCAGGAGGCAGGAGAATCACTTGAACCTGGGAGGTGGAGGTTGCAGTGAGCCAAGATCATGCCACTGCACTCCAACCTGGGCAACAAGTGCAAAATTCCATCTCAAAACAAAAACAAAACGAAAGAAGGATTAGAATGAAAGTAGAATTGGGAAATGGAGTAATATGAGTAACCCAAATGATTACTGGGATATATACAAATTGGGGAGGGACTTAGAGCTAAGATGTCAGCTATGTTCAGGCATCAGTTCTCCTTCCACATGTGCACTTCTTTTTTTTCTTTTTTTGAGACAGTCTCACTCTTGTTGCCCAGGCTGGGGTGCAATGGTGCGACCTCAGCTCACTGCAACCTCCACCTCCTGGGTTTAAGCAATTCTCCTGCCTCAGCCTCCCCAGTAGCTGAGATTAAAGGCATGTGCCACCATGCCTGGCCAATTTTTGTATTTTTAGTAGAGATAGGGTTTCTCCATGTTGGTCAGGTTGGTCTTGAACTCTTGACCTCAGGTGATCTGCCTGCCTTGGTTTCCCAAAGTGATGGGATGACAGACATGAGCCACTGCACCTGGCCCCACATGCATACTTTCATGCTCAGGCCCACTCCTGGCTCCTGTTCAGCTGGTTCAGTGTCTGTGTGGAGGTCACATGTTTAGAAGCTCATAGCAGAGGTGTAATTATAGTTACTGGGAAAGTATGCTGAACTCTGGCAACCTTTAATTCTGCATCTTCCTCCACACCTAAATTTCACACAAAATCTCTGCAGGCATGTGAAGGACCCAGTACTGAATATGTATCATCATAGGTGCCCTTCTCAGGTCTCTCATAGACAGTTTTGACCAGCACCAAAGTACTGAGGTCTGGGAAACTAGGAACTTGTCGTTTCAGGAATCAGTGGCTTTTGATGACGTGGCTGTGTACTTCACTAAGAAGGAATGGGCCATCATGGTGCCTGACCAGAGGGCCTTGTACAGGGATGTGATGCTGGAGAACTATGAGGCTGTGGCCTTTGTAGGTAAGGCCTCTCTGCTGCTGGTTTCTGCCTGGGCCCTCAGGTTGAAGGGCTCTTTTATAATTATAAGCTGACCCCAAATAGCGATTTCAGAGGTTGCCAGGTATGGAAAGCCTTGATGTTTATTGACCTGCAAAGGGCTTTCTTTCTTTTTCTATCATAAAAACTACCCTCCTTCCCTACCTGCCTTAGAGGTGATTCTGAGTACAGTAGGGCTTGAGGTATATCTTGATACTCTTAGCCTAGTATTGAACCTCCAAATTATCTTGAGAGGTAGAACCCAGCCACTTTGTCTCCCTCTGGGAGTTACTCCTAGAGCCATTTGTCTTTTTCCCACAGTGGGAGATTTCCATTCTCTGACAAAGAAGGTAAAAATTTTGTTTCCCTTTAAATAGAAATCTGTCTTCCAGTGTATTTCAGGCTTCCTTGGAAGAACTTTCCTGACTCTTCTTTCCAGGATCCCTCCCTGTGCCTCTTTAGGGTACCTCTCGTATAACCCACCCAGGAATTATCCTCCTCACCTCCCTTGCTTGTCTTGGAGCCATGGGCTTGAGTTTGACCCCTGTGACTATGCTCATTATTATGTTATGTTTTCCTCCCTTCAAGCAGTGCCACCCACTTCCAAACCAGCTTTGGTCTCTCATTTGGAGCAAGGGAAAGAGCCCTGTTTCACCCAACCACAGGGAGTCCTGAGCAGGAGGGACTGGAGAGCAGGCTTTATAGGTGAGTTAAGCAAGAGGGATCCTCCCCAGCTTCATCTCTTCCTTTGCCTTCATTTCATTGAAAGGAAAGGTGTGTGTTCTCTGTGCCCAGCATCATGGAGTACATTGGGATCATCAATCACATTCTTTCTGACTGGTGTGTTACTCATTGCTTCTTATCCCTTTAAACTGCAGTACACAACACCCTGCTTCAGTATTTCACACACTGGGATGCTTTTATCCCTTGCTCATTTGTGATCACTTTTTTTCCAGTTTCTCTAGTTTTGGAAAATTGATAAACTTGGTGCAGTATTATCTTGTCCACTGACCAATAGAACGAGTAGAAAAAATTATTTTTCATCAGAATTAATATGTAAAAATTTTAAAGTTTTTATACTGAAATATTTTAAGGTAGCTTATAGTTGTTATGATTTTCCTCCCCTCTAGGACACTCGGAACTGAGAAGATATACTTACTTAGCTAAAGCAATGTTATGTGTAATAAAATCAAAAATTCTTCAAAATCATCGATGCTGGGAAGACAGGAGAAAGGCTTAATTCTTGACATTTAAATACCAGTTTTCCAAGTCAGGAGTTGATGTAAGAGGCACCTTAAATGATGTCAAATGCACATTTTCTTTTTCTGTAGACTAGTTTCTGTAGATTTAATGTTTTTCATTCATTAAAATAATTCATTTTGATGTACAAAGCAGGCTCTCATGTCCTTTTTTAAACAGCTTTGTGGAGATACAAATCACAATTCATGCAATTCATCCATTTAAAGTATTCAATTAAGTGGGATTTAGAATATTCACAGAGTTTTGCAAGCATTCCGCAGTCTACTTTTAGATCTTTAGAAACCTCTACTGTTAGAAATCATTCACCATACCCATCTCCCAACTCTTGGTTTTAGGAAACTAACTTTCTACTTTTCGTTTCTATAGATTTGCCACTGGCTTTCACTTAACATAATGTTTTCAAGGTTAATCCGTTTTGTAACATGTATCAGTACAGTAGTATACAAGTTATAATGCATATGTGTTTTCTCATGGGTACATACTCTAGATATATACTAGTTGGGTCATATGGTAACTTTTTGTATAACATTTCGAGGAATGCCAAAACTTTTTCTGAAGTGGCTATACCAATTTACATTCCTTCCAGCAATGTATGAGGGTTCCTAATTCCTCACATCCTCACTGACGCTTAATGTTGTCTACCTTTTTCGCTGTAGCCATCCTGGTGATGTGAAGTGCTGTCTCATTGTAGTTTTTATTTACATTTCTCCAGTAGCTAATGGTATTGAGCATCTTTTTATGTGCTTATTGGCCATTTATGTATTCTCTTTGGAGAAATGTCTATTCAAACTCTGCATGTTTTAAACTTGGTTATTTTTCCTTTTATTTTTGTGTTTTAAAAGTTCTGACATTTGGTTACTAAATCCATATCGGATAATGGCTTACAAACATTTCATCCCATTTTGTGAATTGTCTTTTTACTTTCCTAATATTGTCCTTTGAAGCACAACAGTTTTGAATTTTGATGAATTTCTTTTGTATTTTCTACATACAAAATTATGTCATCTGCAAATAGAGATAGTTTTACCTTTTTCTTTCTAATCTGAATGCCTTTTACCTTTTCTCTTGCCTAATTACTCTGGCTAGAACCTTTGGCACAATGTTGGATACAAGTTGCAAGAGTGGACGTTCTTGTCTTACTCTTGATCTTAGGGGGAAAGCATTCAATCTTTTACCATTAAGTATGATGTTAACTATGATTTCTTGGAAATGCTCTTTATCAAGTTGCTAATTTGTTGAGTATTTGTCATGGAAGAGTGTTGGAGTTTGTGAAATGATATTCTGTGACTGTTAAATCTGGTTCTTTCCTGTATTCTATTAATATGGTACACATTACATTGATTGATTTTTGGTGTGTTGAATCCCACCCTCCATTCCTTGGATAAATCATAGTCGGTGATGTACAATCCTTATATTGCTGATTTCATTGGTTAGTCTTTGGAAAAGGCTTGGTGACATTATGATTCATGAGTGAAGTTATTTTGGGTGATGGGTTAGATATGTGTTCTCCAAATTCAATATTCTTTAACAGTTTTATGTATATTATATTTTCCAAGTAAGTTACAGGCTGACAACAGGAATAATATCATACTTTTCTCATTTATAGCATAATATTTTATACAGAGTTACTTGATATTTTTTGTTGTTTTGCACTTAATTAAGAGATTCTTTCCTAATTTCATGCCTCCCAATTATATCTCCATTCTTTCCCTACCCTGAGTCCTCTGTTTCATGTTCCTATCCTTATTCGTTCTCAGTATTTTTATACTAACATTCATTTGCATAGCCCGTGACCTTCCCTTTTTGATTCCTCTTTCTTAGCTACCTTTTCATCTTGAACTCTCTTTGGACTTCTGAACTCTGATAAAGCCTTCTCTTCCCTGTTGGGATTCAAGACTTTTCCTTGTCTCACCTTATTCCCTAAAGGCTCTAAAGACATTTCAGGTGTGGTGGCTCACATCTATAATCCCTGCTACTTGGAAGGCTGTGGCAGGAGGATTGCATGAAGGTAGGAGTTTGAGGCCAGCCTGGGCAACATAGTAAGACCCCCATCTCTAAAAATATAAATTTAGCCAGGTGTAGTGTTACATGCCTGTAGTTGCAGCTATTCAGGAGGCCGAGGCAGGAGGATTGCTTGAGCCCAGGAGTTGAAGGCTTCATTGGGCTGTGATCACACTACTAAGTCTTGGGTGACAGAATGAGACCTTGTCTCTTTTTTAAAAAAGCATTTTATAAGGACACAAAAGTTGTGTAATAATAGGACATACTAATCTTATTTGCTGATTAGTTCAGGCAGACTATGGCCCATAGACCAAAATCTGACCTACCACCAGTCTTTTTGTGTATGGTCTGTGAAATAAGAATGGTTGAATTTTTTAGTGGCTGAAGGAAATCAAAAGAAGATGATTTTGTAACACATGATAATTATGGGAAATTCAAATTTCAGTGTCTGTAAAGGAAGTTTTACTGAAATACAGTCATGTTCATTCATTATGTATTGTCTATAGCTGCATTCACATTACAGTGATAGGGTTGAGTACTTGAAACAGAAATGTATGGCCTGAAGAGCCTAAAATATTTACTATGTAGCCCTTTGCAAGAAATGTTTGCTAACGTCTGGTATAGTTCCCTCTAGCATTGCTGAGAGAGGTGGTATTTGTATGCATTTCTTCTTTATCAGATGGAAAAACCTGGGCTGAGAATGAGCATTTGACTTCAAATAATTTCTGATAAACACAAATCCTATGGCATGGTATCAGGTGAATATCTGAGAAGGGGTCCTGATATTCAAGGTAATCTGCAGATCATAGGGCAAGTTAGGCATAAAAGAAATTTCACAAGTGATGAAATGAGTAAAAATGAGAAAGATTTTGTGAAGGAGATCGTAATGAGAAACTTCATATAGAAAATACAAGCCGTCCACAAAAGAAATCAGAAAGAAATATTAGTGTTAGAAACACATCTGCAAGGACCAGATACACAGATTTTCTATAAATCTCATGTGTGGGACAGACGTTGCAGTCTTAGTTCAGACTTTTCAACATCCGAAAAACTACAGTGGAGCTCCCCCAAATGCCCTCTCCTCTCCTCTCCTCCTTTCTGTGGTCTTCCCTGGACTTACATAGGCCCTTTGCACTTTGTAAATTTCATACTGCCTTTTATACTCAGTCTTACATGCATCCCTCTCCACTCTGCATTGTTACCTTTTTGTAGATGGCCACAGCACACTTGCTGCTCAATTTTACCCCCTGTGGTGGCCAAAAACCCCATGTGTTTTTGTCTGTTGTAGCAAGTTGTCACTTCTCAAGGGCAAGAAGCAATGATTAGGTGAAAAAAACGTCAGGAAATATGAATACATTTCCCCTATGAATATATAGCATGACCATTTGAGTACATTAGAAGAATGGCAGAAATGAGTGATTTCACTCAACTCAGGAAGAGAGAGATTCAAATAGAAACTGAAGATACTGCTGCAAGAAATGGACTTTTTAGAGAGGTGTTTATGCCTTGGCCTCATAGGAGGCTGTAACATAGTAGTAAATAGGAACTGGTCTTCAGTTTTACTTTTTCAGGGTCGATTTCATCCGGGGTGCCACATTCAATGAATACTAGCCATTGGGTTCATTTGACATTTCACAGGAAACTGAACTGTTAAAAAGCTTGTGGCTGGGCATGGTAGCTCAGGCCTATAATCCCAGCACTATGGGAGGCTGAGGCAGAAGGATCACTGGAGGCCAGGGGTTCAAGACCAGCTTGAGCAGCATAGCAAGACCCTCATCTCTACAAAAAATTTTAAAAATTAGATGGGTGTGGTGTCGCACACCTGTAGTCCTTGCTACTCAGGAAGCTGAGGGAGGAGGACCACTTGAGCCCAGGAGTTTGAGGCTGCACTGAGCCGTCATCATGCTTTTGCTCTCCAGCTTGAGTAACAGAGCAAGACCTTGTCTCCAAAAAGTCAGTTTGTTATTTTCCGTATGAGGACTTCTTTTCTGGGTTCAAAGGAATAATTTGCTATCTAGTTTTCATGTGTGTGTCTTTTCTTCCTTCCATAACTGGGTCAAGCAGCTTTATTTATGAAAAGGTATATAAGTCTTTGTAGGTTGACTGCTTTCAGATGACATTTTCAGGAATAGGGTGATGAATTATTTCCCTTTCCCTTGTCTCACCTTTGCAAATGTTACCCTTTGTTGTAGGCAAAGGTTACACTTTGCAAAGGTTACCCTTTGTTATAGTCAAAGGTTACTCTTTGTTATAGTGAAAGGCTATGCTTGACCAGAAGCTACAGTTTAGAAAAATGTAAGTGAGCTAGATGTTGATGACTTTGAACCAGAATAGTCATAACCTATTTAGAGACCATTTTATCCAAGGTTAGAAAGTATGAACTCAGAGCAAGATCTTGTAGCTGAAAGCAGCATTGTCACTTAGAGAAATGGTCTTGAGGTGACATACTGTGAGGTGAGAAAAGAAAGAACTTCAGTTTATGGAGTTCGCAGATTTATTTAAACAGCAAAGAGGTTTGGGAACCCCAGGATGAGGAGCGTCAATCCAGGGAGCAAGAAGAAACATCCCTGGTGTGCCAGACTGTGATATTTATGGTCTGAGTGCATTATTGGTAACTACATTGCAGATGATGGATAATGAGAAATGTATCCATGGACTGTTTCTAGATACCTCGCAAAAAGGGAACTTGTTTTTGAGATCTGTTCTTCAGATTGAGAGGTTACCAGGGCAAGAAGAAGATAAAGGAATCTAACTACTCACGTGAAATGATCTCACCCACCTGTATATTAAGCTCATACCAACTGGATTATGTGAATCTCATGTATTTGTAATTAGCAGCCTGCATGGAACTCCTTGTGTCTTGGGCATAATGGGCCATCCAGACATACTAGGGAGCTGAAAATATTTAGTGTGATACTGAGGGTTACTCTAAGAATTAATGTTGAAAAGGTAAACAACATGTAAATTACTAAGAAGCTGGTATGCCATGCTAACGAGGCTGAACTTCATCCTTGCCAAGGGAAGCTGATCAGGAGTTTAAAGCAGGGCTATATGTGTAATCGACCTGCTTTCTAGCAAGGTCATTGATAGCATGGGAAGAATTAAGGTTGGTGAAACAGGAGCCAGGCAA